AATATACAACTATGTACTGGGGGAATTTGGGGAGAAAAAGCAGAAAGAAAAAAAAATAGATTGGCAACAGTTGTTAGCTCAGGTGCCAATCTTTAGGGAAAAAAAAAAAGAAAAATAACATAACTTTATTAACTTCCTGACATACTTCTATTCTGTTTTTTGGACTTCATGTTCCTTGAGCACCTTTTTGTATGACAATTATTTTATAATTTCTATAGAGAGAATACAAGGACTTCAGTATCTCTGTAAGTGGGGTTGTTCAAAATTTATTTTACTGATAGTTTAGAAAAGCTTTTTTTAGCTTCACAACTCATTATGGGTAACTTCATATACATTTTTAGGATTGTAGCCAAAATTGGGAAGGCTTTTATAACATTTCTTTAACGTGAGCTCTAGGGTTTGGAAGCGTTTTCTACCAGTTGCGTCTAGTTTAGTCCATATCAAACCAGTTCCTCCCCCGCCACCCACATACTTCTGATGCTGGATGCCGTCCGCATCTTCAGCAGCTTGACCACACCTATGGCTTTAAACCTGCACATATCACACTGGGCAGCTGGAGTTTTTCTAGACGCCATTCCAACACCGAGACCACCAGCAGTAACTCAGCTGTAGAAGTATGTAGAAGTGTGAGTCAAATACGCCCCATAAACCCAAGCTAAACATATTTCCAACTCAACTCTCCCACACCTGAAACCCAAAAATGCCTGCAGCCCTTCAATGCCAGTTGATGCAATGGCATATGTGATCAAGAGGAAATCAAAATGAGAAAAGAAAGTGATCGCAGCCAACTGTAGCTAAAATATCTTATTTGGAGCATGTTTGTGAGGGGTCGCTGCTTAAACGTCATTTTAAATCCACCTCTGACAGAAATGACAACTAATTTTCTCATGTCAGACAACTTCAATACATCCACCTCCAATCTGATTATTTCATGCAAAAAAGTTATGCTATGTTATTTTTAAACATTAGCTCATTTAATCCTCACAACAACACGGGGTAGTTATTATTGCACAAGTGAGGAAACTCAGGCTTTGAAAGTTAAGCCACTCATTCAAGATTGCAAAACTAGTGCCATCGTTTCCAAAGCTGGCACGCACACAAGTCCTCTGTCCTGCTTCTTTGAGAGAATAGAGTGAGTTTAAGGTGGAACAGAATGAGAACAAAACTTACTATGCTTTCTTTGGCACAAAAAGAACGTGGATAGGTATCAAAGTCTCATTAAGAATTTTAAATGCTGCGTCACTACCTCCTAGCAGTAACTTGGACCCTAGGCTAAGAATCCAAAAAGTTTATGCAGATATTGGTGCCACCTTTGGGTAAGCCATTCACCAACAGTTTAACTCAGTTTTACATGCCAAAGAGCATTTTCTCATAAAATTAAAAATGTTATTCTCATTTTTGAATCAAGATTCAGTGGACCTTACTAAATAGCATATATGTGGCCTGATGTGATATTTCTTACTAGGGCAGTATTATGGATTGTACCCTGGAACAGTCTGTGTAATAAAGCATAATTATAATAAAATTATCCTATTTGAATCCAAGGAACTAATACTTAAAATTCTCTTTGGTTTCGGCTAAGCTTATATCCCTTATACCAGAAAATCTTAAGGGGACAACGTACCACCAAAACCCTAGCTCTGTTCGCATCATGAAAGCCACCTATTTACTATTTAGGTTTGCATGTTAGTCTATTCCAAATCCCTCTGAAAATGTGGCCACACCGGAAAGCTCGCCTCCAGGAAATCACAGACAGACTCTTTCTGAGGATCTTAAAGATGGTATATGCTGCATCATGCCCCAATCCCCTTTCACAAACATTCCCAAACAGATGTGCTCTCCCTTATTATTCACCAGAGAAATGCAAATTAAAACTAGAACGATACCACTCTATACAAGGACTGGAAAAGCTTAATGACTGACAAAACCGAATGTTAACAAAAATGTGGAGAAACTAGAACTCTCAAAACTGATGGTGAGAATGTAAAATGGCACAACCACTTTGCAAAAATATTTGGAGAACTCACTAGAGCTAAACATACGCATACCTTACAACCCAGCAGTTTCATTCCTGGGTATATATCCAAAAGAAATGAGTGTTTATATCTATCAAAAGACAAGTACAAGAATGTTCATAGGCGCTTTTTCGGTAATAGCCAGAAACTGGAAACAACCTAAATGCCCATCAAAAGAAGAAAGGATAGATTGTGGTAAAATTGTGCAATGAAATACTATGCGAAAATGAGAATAAACAGCAGGCAACAACAAGGATAAATCTCACAAAGAAGCACAAATGAAAGAATTCAGACACAACAGACTGTGTAGTATAATATTTGCAACCAAATTTACAAAGAAATATGACAGCATTCACAAGCAGGCAAAACTAAACCGTAGTGATAGATGCCAGGATAATAGTTACCTGGGGGTATTGACCAGGAAGCAATGTCGGAAAGTGACATCTTCATCTGAGTGGCGGCTATTCAGGTGATATATATGTAAAATTCATTGAGTTGTAGACCTAAGATTTGTGTACCGTAAATGTCTGTCATACTTTAATGTACAATATTTTTTATACTGACATCAAGGCAGACCTGCCTTGAAAAGAAAAAGAATCAAGATGTCAACCAGCTAAACAGGAAACCTGGGAGTATACAGGAGGGAGCAGAGTTCCAACTGCTGCTCCCTGGAAGGAACATGGAGGAAGAAGGAAGGAGGGCAGCAGAGCCTGGGGTACCTCTGAGTCAATGAATATGTACAAGTTCATTCTCTCTCTGTCTCTCTCTGTCTGTCTGTCTCTCTCTCTGTCCTCCAACTTCTTTCTTATTTCTTGCTGTTTGCCCTTGAATTTGTGCCCAACTACAGAAAGAAAAGGTAGAAGCGGTTTTGGCTTCAGGGGACTCCTTATCCATCACACTCTGGTTTTGCATGAAGGGTTCTGCTTCAACCCTAATGGATGGGCAGGTCATGTTGTACTTAACATTCAAGTAGCATGAAAGTCATAGTTGAAGGGGTTTTATAGTGCATCCTTATATAGTGTTTCTAATTGTGGTTAGGCTTTATCAATTACTTTAACTACTTTACTATAGCTACAAAGAACTGTTAGAAGACTGTTGATGCAAATAATCCATAATCAAGCTATAAATCAAAATTTGGGGTGAATTTATTATGAGCTAGGTCTGAGGACTATAGCCCAGAGGGCTTCCTTCATCAAGGAAGGAAGGGCACCAAAGAAGTAGGGTGTACAGAGCAGTTATATACGGTCTTGGAACAAAGAGCACACATCACATATGACGGGAACGTCCCTTTTACAGCAGTCATGAGCTTGCTTTGCTAGCACAGCAGGTCAGTAGTCAATCCCTAGTTTCCAGGGAAAGATGCTTATCTTTAAGGAAATGTCGCTATGGGGGGAAGCAACATCCCTATCTTTAAGGGCATCATTCTTGTCTTTGAGACATTGTAAATGTTTAAAGCAGATGTACAATTCATGCTCCACAGGCCACATCAGGCCTTTCTGGAAAAACAAAGTCAGGCCAAAATGGCTTCCTCATATACTCTAATATAACCTACTGCTTGTCATTTATTTATCAAGACGTATTAGTACCCTAAAACAACCTGAATCAATGTTAGTTGGAGACGTTTATAGAAATCACCTAAAAAAATCTTTAAAAATAAAGAAATTTAGTGTCATGTAGTGGTTATTCCTATGGTATATTTCACAGTGGTAGGTTTTGTTTATCACTGTAAACAAGCCTTTCAAGTATTATTTTAAAATGCAATATGGTCAAGTGGGTGAAGGTAAAAAGTCCAGATTTACACAACGACTGAAATTATTGTGCTAGTGTTATGCAAATGATTTTTGAAAGTATTCCTGGCTTAGGATAAAATTTCTAGTGATATCTCAAACAACACAGATTGAAATGAAGAATGTGTCCTCTGAGAATATGTAAGAAAACTTGAAGTGGTTCTTGGGATGACAAAAATACTTACCACAGGTTCAAGTAAACAATTTAGTTCATGGATTTTGGATTTTCTACATCAAAGAATTTTGAATTGCTTCATAAAACATGAAAGCAGAAAAAAAAAATCCTTGACCATTTCATCTACATCCTTAAAAGTTTATGTGTTCCAGTATGGACAAAGAGAAGATTGCCTAAGATGCAGCCATCTTGCATATGCATGTAGTGTAAACTGGACACTCAAACCTAACAGTGAAACAAGTATTTAAACAGAGCTTAATCATGTTATTGCATTCTAGCCTGAGACTTCTGTCATCCTCACATCGTATTTCTGAATTTATATTCCCAGGAAAGAATCGTGCTATAATTTAAATGCAACAAGCACAGTTAACTATATTTAAGTGGTATTTTAAAACACCACTTTCATGATGTACATCTGAAAGCTATATATTGTTATAATCCAATGTTACTGCAATTAAAAAAATAATAAAAAAATAAAATACCACTTTGGAAGAATAGAAATATGTGGCTCATGTTTAAAAAAAAAAATGCAATTAGAGAATGTGGCTGAGTTATTGACTAAGGTCAGTTCTCACTATGTACTAGTAATAAACCCAAGTACCTGCTCTGGGAGCATCTTTGAATTTGTTGGAGAGGACATGTTAATGAATCAGGATAGTAATGTTAACAGAACTCGTTAAGAAGTTCAGACCCTATGCTTCTCCTCACTCCACAACCCTGCACACATTACTTAACTTCTCTGCACTTCTGTTTCCACATCTGTCAAATGGGAATGATAATACTGCCCACCTTGTAAGGCTGTTGTAACTAGTCAACGCTAGAATACTGTGAAGCAGTTAGGAAAATACCTCACATGTGGGGGCCAGCCCTGTGGCTGGTTAAAGTTCCGTGTGCGGTGGCCTGGGTTCAGGGGTTTGGATCTTGGACACAGACCTACTCCACTCATCAGCCATGCTGTGGAGGCATCCCACATACAAAGTGGAGGAAGATTGGCAACAGAGGTTAGCTCAGGGCTAATCCTCCTCAGCAAAAAAAAAATAAACTAAAATACCTTACACGTGGCAAGTGCTCAATAAACGTGAGATCTCATACTTCATCGTTTTCCCTTTTGTTAACAATATTCACAGCCTTTTAATTTTTCTCCACAAAAGACTTTGTAATACAAAGAGTGAATACAATAAGATACCATAGAAACCTAATAGAGAAGAAAATTGAAATGTAGAGACATGAAAACAAGTTTATTTTAAGCAGAATACCACATGTCATAGATTAGGCTAATGATGAGTTTAGCTCCTTCACAGTGGATCTGTGGGTGCCAGCTAACACATCCAAGAAGCCAAATCTCTGGTGTGACAGGTTTCTTCCTTCTTTCCCTCCCACTACTTCCATAATGCTCGCTGACTTGAAATTTAGCTAAGGTGGGCAGTGATGAAATCCTCATGAAATACTCCTCTCTCCAGAAGAGGTCAAACTCAGATCCCAGGGAGACATGCAAGCAACGTCTTACCTAAAGGGTTTTGAACAGCAAACTGATGATGCAGCAGCATATAAAGGACAACTAAGTCACTAACAGCAGCTTCAATCAGCAGTTCCACAAAGCAGTGCAAGGCCACAGTGGACAGTGAGAGTGAAACCCCTGTGTTCCCAGGGGGAGCACGCGGGACACATTATAGTTTATAACTCCCCATTTTTTATTTGGCAAGAGCTTGCTTTTAGTCTAAACAACATTCTCCAGAAGTTCCTGGGCTTCTTTGCATCCCATCTTGCAGCAACATTAAGGAGCATCTCTACGTCCCTGGGAGAGGCAAATAGCAGCGTAAAGAGAGTAAACCAAACCACCTGTGTGTGCACGTGTTTGGCCAAGGGCCAGGTGAACGCGTGTTTAGACTCAGTCTAAGTTCCTGAGGGAAGCACATGCTGTTTCATGTGGGTTTCATCCTGAGAGTCTTCAGAATACAATCAGAGTGACTCAGAAAAAGAGTCTCACAACATCAGAGTCCAGCTGGATTCTTTTGCCCGATTTAGAGGAGTTTTTCTCGCCAAGACTCTTAGGTAATGTCTGAGAAGCCCCTCTCTTGCAAGCCAATTCTGTATTTTGGTTTGGGAGCAGTAACTGGAGAGGGGCTTGATTCAACCTGCCCACCCATCACTTGTAAAACTGCCAACCTTCAGCTGTAAAAGACAACATATTGACTACGCCATTTTGACTTGGCTGCCTTAAAATGGTCATTTCAAAATTTCATTACAAAGTAATGCGTGCAACTAATATCCCCGAGTATTAAACCAATTTCAAGACTCACCCCATCCCTCAGCCCCTCATGGAGACTCCCTCCGAGTTTTCTCTACCCCACAGCCTGAGGTTGATTAAGGGATGGAGCTGGGAGGAGGGGGTTGTACATGTGACATGGTAATGGAATATATGTCAGTTATATTACTTAAAAAAAAATGAGCTGAAAGTTTAATGGTTTATTTTTGGGGCTCTATCAAAATGTCTCTGACTCAAAATAGCTACATAAAAATGTCACAGACTGTGAACTATTCAAAAACGTGAAGAAAAACTTCTCGAGACAAAGTAGTAGTATTTCTCTTGATGACTATGAGTAATCAGAAAAGGATTAGTCCAACAGCACAAGGGGAATTTGTGCCCAAAGGGAGCTGTCTACCTTGTATTCTTACCTTTTCCAATCTGTTTACAAGAAAATGTGGTAAGGCTGTAAAGGTGGTACTCCAGGGAGCCTTAGAAATTCACAGGAGACCACAAGGACCATGAAATAACCTGGCCTTTCATCTCAGCCTCATGGAACACCTTAAGAACTTAATCAGTGGCATCTACGCACATGTATGAATTTTGGATTCCCCTGCTTTGTGACTTTTATAACTCATAGCAATGTAAGCACACAAAAAGGCAAGAGCAGGAAGTGAGCTATATATAAAATGCTTTTGTCTGTCAATTGCAGGTAATATATGGGGGCAGCTTTAGAAGGAATGACTCTCAGCTGGAAGGGAAAAGACAGCTTAATTTCATTACCCTGCTTCCACAGACCCAGTCATGCTCCTCATTTTTCCTATGCAAGGTTAGAGAGAGCGCAGGGATGGTCCTGCTGGGAGGCTCCTCTGAAAAAGAAGAAAAGAAAGAGGAGCTGGTGATGGGGGTTGGGGCGGGGGGGAGAAGGGGAGGCAGTATGCAATAAAAAACAAGGAAATAATCCCATGAAAGAGCATCCCCGTAATAAAACCAGGGCAGAGCCAATACAAATATGTAACCATTACTGGAATCCATCACTTCCATCTTATCACATATCTAGATAAATGTTAATAAGCCTCTTTCAGTGAAAAATGTCTCTTATTTGCAACAAGTACAGTACTTCTTAAAAAACTGATGTTGTAAGAATATTTAAATCAGTTATTTACTCCAGACCCGTTCATCAGCTTTTCCAAATGTTAGAATAACTATACTCTTCTCTCCAAAATATACAGGAAATCAAAACGCAGGAGAGGACTGTCCAGGAAGGTTAGGGAATCAGTAACACGTAGCCCGATCCTTAAGCACTATTTCCACTTGCTGACAGGTCAATGTGCTGTGCTGTCCTTTCCAACAGAACTCTCTCTGAAGATGGAAATGTTCCGTATCTGCTGCCTAATACAGGGGCCACTAGTCACACGTGGCCCCTGAATACTTGAAATGTAGATAGCACAACTGAGAAACTGAATTTATTTTAATTTAAATTTAAATGGCCACATGTAGCTGATGGCCATGATATTGGATAGTAAAATTATATAATTATTGCCTTGTTATTTTGTTCTTTTCATATTAACTATGATTAGGGAAAACGGTTGCCAGAAAAACAAGAAAATGTACAAAAATTTACTATTTTTAATGCATAAAAATTTTGAAAAGTGAGTTGGAAAATAACAAAATCCAGTGTAAAAATGGACAGACTGCAAGAATGGGCAATTTGCAGGAAAAGAAATAAAAATTACAATAGATGTTTAGAAAAAATTGTTCAGCTTCACAATTGATAAAAATGAAAAAATTTAAATGAGACACCTTATGCTGTTACTCAAGTTGGCAAAGATCAACGAATGATTAAAAACAGTGTTGATAAGTCTGCGAGCATTTACACTAGAGTGAGCTTGGACGATCTCTCAGTTTGGCAATATGTATCAAAACCTTTAGAAATGATCCTTGCCTGACCCGATTATTCCATTTTTAATGAATTTTGTGGTAAGGAAACAATCAGACATGCAAAAAGATGTCTATGAAAGTCTCTTCCCAGAAGCAGTTTATGATAGTAAGAAACTAGGAAAAGGACCAAACGGGAAATAGTGAAATCTTCAAGTGAATGAAGATACATTAATACATATATTGAATGAAAAAAGTCTGGAAGAAACTCATTGAAACATCAAAAGCAGTTGTTACTATGCTATGGGATACAGGTGATTTGGGGTTTTTTAAAATGTTTTCTTCATTAGGAATAATTTATTTTGTAAGTCATAAACTGTAAATTCTTTTTTTTTCTTGGTGAGGAAGATTAGCCCTGAGCTAACGTTCATTGCTAATCTTCCTCTTTTTCTGCTTGAGGCAGATTAGCCCTGAGTTAAGATCTGCACCAATCTTCCTCCATTTTGTATGTGGGATGCCTCCACAGCATGGCTGATGAGTGGAGTAGGTCTGCACCCAGGATCTGAACCTGTGAACCCAGGCTGCCAAAGTGGAGTGTTTAGAACACTAACCACTTGGCCACAGGGCCAGCCCCCATAAATTCTATTTTTAAAATACACAGGGGCAAATCTTGCCTTTGCAATGCTTTCCCCACCCCATTCCTGACAGTGGAAGCCGTCACTGAAAGAAGGAAAGATTTTTCAAACTGAGCTTTAATTGAATTGTCCCATGTAAGGGCCTGGCTTACACAATGTTGTTTAGGGCAACACTTCTAAAACTTTGATGCATACACTAGCCACCCAGAATCTTGTTGTAATGGAGATTCTGCTTCAGTGGGGTTGGCTTAGGGCCTCGGTTGCTGCGCTTCTAACCAGTGCCTGACTAGTGATGCCAATGCTGCAGGTGTGTGGCCGACACTCCCAGCAGCAAGGGTTTCAGCCAAGCATAGTTAATCACCAACCACACTTAGCCACTCTAGAACCATGTCATCCCCTTCCTGCTTCTCAAAGGTATTTCCTCTGTTGGCAGAGGAACTTGATCAGAATATCCATTTTATGCTTCGTGTTGACCTGTGCTCCTGCAGCGGCTTCCTCTGCTGGTTCTGTGTACTCGGTAAACCTTGGTAGACTTCCGGAGGAGCGCTTTGACCTGGCTGCACGCTGCAGTCACCTGGAGAGATTTTCTGCTCAGTTAAGTCAATCTGGAGCTGTGCATCAGTGTATTACAAAAGCTCCCCAGAGGATTCTAATCTGTAGCCAAGTTTGTCAGCCACTATTCTAGAAGGAAGGAAGAGAACACCTGAGAAGGCTGAGCTCATCAATACGTGAGTAACAGCAAAGCCATAGCTGTGCTCACTCTTCTTCAGATCACCAAACACTGCTGAGGAGTGGAAGAGGCTCCGTACATCAGCACGATCCAACAGAAATACAACGCAAGGCATGTGTAATTTTCAATTTCCTGGTCGCCACATTAAAAGTTTTAAAAGAAACAGGTAAAATTAATTTAAATAATATATTTTATTTAATCCTATATATCCAACACATTACCTTTCAACATGTAACCAATATAAAGAATTATTAATGAGATAATTTATATTCCTTTCTTCATATGAAATCTTGGAAATTCAGTGTATGTTTTACACGTGCAGCGCATCTCCATTCAGACTAGCTCCATTTCACGTGCTCAATAGCCTGTGTGGCTCGTGGCTCCCATGCTGGACACTATAGCTTCAGAAAGTACTATAGAAAAATTCCATTTCAGGAGATTTCTACTTTTGAGTAAGTTGAGACTGCGTGAACCCAAAGCCAGTTGTGCATATTGAGAGAATCTGGCCTTGCACCTAACTTGTCCATATCTTCTACCACAGTGTCCATGCAGAACGGAGTTTCTAACATCTCAGAGCCTATTCACTTCCATTATCTAACCTCCAGGGCGTGAGGTGGGTGTCCAAGTGCATGTTCCCAAAGTTAGTCTTACTTCCTAAAACCACAAATAGAATATGAGACATTTTTCTGTGAGGACTCATCAGGCCGATGCTACACAATCAGTGTGGAAGATTCAGCACACTGGATACAAATCAGTTGAATAAAATTTAGGCCCCAAAATGGACTAAACAATAAGTAAGATGTATTTCTACTTTTAATTTTTAAATAATGTGCCTTTTATGGCCAAGAGCTCAAAACTTTAATAAACAAGGTAATGCTAACACAGAGCACTGTTAATAAAATGATGGATGTTCTGAATCTCGATCTAGAATGGTACACGTTCTCCAGTTTAGTTCTTTTAAAGCTAATCTGTTGTTCGCTTGCACTGTGTGGACTGTTTTTAAATGTATCAGCCACATCCCCTCGACCACTACTCCTACCTCATCATCAAGTGGAAAAAGTTGAAAAGGTACCAAGACTTTAATATTAAGAGAGCTTCTATCTCTACCTTATTTATGTTCTACGGAAAAAGCACCAAAATCATAAAGTTTTATATTTCAGCACTTGCTAAAACGATAACTCTGGAGTTTTGCTTTTGGTAGATGTCATCTTTCTTACCTAAACCCATGCATTGCCGTCTCTTCATCCTTCACCACTCCAGCTCCTGGGAAAAGCCAAAAGATATCGTAGACAAAAAGGGATTCAGTTAACTGCTTGATGCCAAAATCTTCTGTAAACGTATAGAAACAGAAATCTAACCAACAAACCCCTCCCCACCTGCCTCTCGCAGGAGGGTGAGCACCAGAGGAACAAAGAAGCTACCTTTCAGGACCTCTGGCCAACAATATGCTGGGCGCTGCAGCACCCAGAGCAAGCACAAAGATGTGCCACACGGGAGTGGGAGCTCTGGGAGTACAGCCAGATGTCAAGTAGAGAGAGCACGGTTTCTGTTATTGCCAGGAGTTGCAAAAGAGAAAAGAAAAAAGGGAACAAGAAGAAAAGTGTAGCGATCTATTTCAGATGTGGAAGGAATGAGTATATTCTATGAGAAAGGCATTTCAGGATGAGATGCATATGATCTAAAGATGAGGTGTATTCTTTATGGGTCTCTGTTGGGGAAAAAAAAAATTCACTGTCACAAGTCTTTTAACTGACTTTTAGTCATTCTGATATGTACTCTCCCCGGGTTATGCAAGACAACCGGACTGTATGATTAATTAGGATGGGGTGCTGACCAACAGGATCTTGGCAGCTTAAGAAAGGAAAAAAATGGAGGCAGAAGCAAAAGAGGAAGTAGAGAAAAGAATTTATCTGTTTGTTGTTTGGGCAGGAACACGGAGGGGGCTAAGAAACACGGAGGTGGGGGGTTCCTGCCCTGCTCCGCCACAGTCTGGAGAATCCACAGCCCTTGCCTGTCTCCACCGCCTTCTGCTGCTATAGAAACAGAAGACCTTCCGGCTGCATTTCCCTCTTCCTCTCCAAAGAGACCCAGGGAGCCAGTGGGCCTCCAGAAGATGAAAGAGGATGAGGACTCAGCCCAGATGGTCGCTGGGCTAATCTGCCAGGGCTGCCATGACAAAGCACGACAGGCTGGGTGGCTTCCACAAGACATTAGCTCAGAATCATTGTAAGTTAAATATTTGTGAAAGGTCATACTGAAGATATAAGAGAGGAGAAAATTATTATGTTAGCATAATCCAATGTGGACAAAATTTTAAGTTATAATTATAAAGATACTTATAAATATAATTATGAATTCCATATTACTTTAAGTAATATCCAGAGTACAATTTCAGTTTTGATGACATATCTCTCCCATCATTAGGGAATTATTGGTTATTCACACCAATGTATGGCAGAGTCTGTGTGTCAATCTTTTTGTGTGTATGTATGATGGTAATGTGGTTCTTTGTTTATTGTTGGAGGCGGGTTTTTTTGTTTTTCTGGTGTGTGTTAGGAGGCTTGCTTTATTTTAATTTTTTCATCCTCTTATTAGGGTATCCAAAGTCACCTCTGTTGATTCTGCTTCATGAATAGATGGTCTTTCACATATTTCTATATGTCACCAGATTTCACAGCAGACAAATATCTGTTTGGAAAGTCTTCAAATCCTTTTGAAATTATTTCATTTATTCAGTATTTATTTTGAATGTGTCCAACACTGTTCTAATCACTGTGGATAAAATAGTGAACAAAACAAGCAAAATTCACTGCCCAATTGTAGCTCATATTATAATGGGGATGGAGAAATGAGGGAACAGACAATACATAAAACAAAGTAAAACTTATGATATATTAGATGGTAATAAATGCCATAGAGAAAGAACAGGAGAATAGGAAATTTTGCAAGGCAAGGGCTACAAATTTTTAAAGGTTGAATGAAATGGGTGGGCAGAGAAAAGCAGATATGTGGTTGTGGCTTTGTTGAATGGAATGAACACAAAGAGTTTCACAGGATGCTCAGAAAGATTTGGGAGAATTATATCAGGAAAAACACTCCCGACTTTACCCAAAGGGACAGAGATAGTACAAAATGAAAAGAGGCCATTGGACCCCCAGATTTCTACTTGCAGGAAACTGGCTAAGAAAACTACTCAGCTGCAAACACATGTTACTTGTCATGAAAAAAGGAAGGACGAATCCAAGAGTGGAAACAAGAGCTCAGAGGGCAGAGCCGAGAACCCTGGAGAATTATTACAGGATCTTGAGACCCAATCAAGGAACTTCCAGTCTTTGCTGGCTGGATCTCAGAATTGCTATGGACTGAGGACACCTTCGTGACCCCCATATCTCCCCCTTTTTGAACTAAAATGTCCATGGCAGTTTTCCTATGCCTGTCCCACCATTGAATGTTGGGTGTATGGAGTCGGATAACTGTCTCTTTAGTCTCATAGGTCACAGACAGAAACTGTATTCAAGGAGTCACATTTCAGGAACAGTACATGCAGCACCTCACTCACACCTGGACCTGATTTAGAAGATGAGATTCTGAACTTTGAGGTGATGCTGTAATTGGATGCGATTTGGGGGGACCTTAGGAAGTGGTAAGTATCTTTTACACGTAGGAGGGATGTCAATTCATGGGGGCCAGAGGGCAGAATGTGGTAGGCAGTCTCAAATGGCCCCCAATGATCACTGCCTACTGATACTTACACCTCACGTAAGCCCCTCCTCATGAGTGCGGGCTGAACCTAGTGACTCACTTGTAGCCAAAAGAATACAAGAATGATAGGATGTCACCAGGACCAGCTACGTAATTGTAGGGCCTGGTGCAAAACGAAACTGCAAGGCTCTTGGTTGAAAAATTATTAGGAATATCAAGATGGCATTAAACCAAGTGTGGGGCCTTTTGAAGCACAGTGCCCTATGCAAATGCACAAGTCACACACCCATGAAGCCAGCCCTGGATGTCACTTCTGAGATTAGATTATAAAAACACAATGGCATATGTCCTTCCCTCTCTCTTCTCTGCCAGGGCCTCAACATGTAACCCTATTTCTTCTTTGGAAATAGGATCTTTGCAGATGTAATGGGTTAAGATCAACTCATACTGGATTAGGCTGGGCCCTAAATCTAATGACTGGTGTCCTTATAAGAGGGCCGTGTGAACACACAGAGACACACAGGGAAGAATACCACGTAACGACAGAGGTAGAGATTGGAGTGATGGATCTGCAAGCCAGGAACACCAAGGATTGCCAGAACCCCCAGAAGCTGGGAGAGAAGCATGCAACAGATTCTGCCTCAGGGCGTGCAGCAAGAACCAAACCTGCCAACAACTTGATTTTGGATTTCTGTCCTCCTGAACTGCGAGAGAGTACATTTCCGTTGTTTTATTTTCTGGTACTTTGTTACAGCAGCCCTAGGAAATGACTATATCTTCCAAAGCAAAGGCTAGACAGGCTTACTGTTATAAAAGATTTAGGTTCCCAAATCTCAGAGTTCTTGTCCTGTAATACAACCCACTGCATGTGCAGGTGTCACCTGATTCTCTTAGCATCCCTCGGTGGGAACTAGGGCTTGGGGAGCTGATGCAAATGCTGATTCTCTGGTTACTGCTATTCATAAACTGTCCTTGATCTCTGACCCGGCAGTCTTGTGCCTTCTGCCAGCATCCAAGAAACTGTAGCAGGCTAATTTGTTAGCTTGTAAGTAGGATAAAATCTCAGACACTTCATAGTTCTTGACAGGGCTGACAGAACATGCTGATGAATTAGATATGAAAACTAAGAGAAAAGGAAGAATCAAGGAAATCCTCCAGGCTCGTGACCTGAGCCATAGGGTGATTAGTAGTCCTACTTCCTGAGGCTGGGCAGATTGTGGGAGAACAAGGTATTTCATTCTCTTGTGCAGACGAAGCTACAGAGCGGTTGGAAAATTGCTGACAATGAGACAAGTCAACTCTTGAGCATAGAAGGAACTATATTAAAGATAATGAAAACCACATTTCTTACTATCTGAGAAGGAATTTACAACATATAAAGAGCCTGCTAGAAAGAACCCCATGGCATAGGATTGAATTAGAAGTTTCAGCATGAAATCAAGTTTAAGGCATACACACACATGCAGATAGTTACAACTGTACGGCTGTGTATGCACACACGTGTATGCAGATATATACATACACATAAATTAACTAGCTCTCTCCTCTGAAAAGGCCTAGATGCAACGATACCTCAGAAGCAATGAGCACACTGAGCACCCGGGTCTTTATTTCTGAATATGATCCTCCACTAAAGGAGACTAGGGCTTCTTCAAGAAATGACTAATTGCAGGGCTGAAAGATGGAGTGAACATAATGTTCCTGGAGCATCTTGTTATCCCTGAAAGTAATGTTCAATGAATGATGGGGATATATGAAAAGGATACAGAAGCCAGCTTGAAGGAACTCCCATTGGCCAAATCTGGGGCAATGTCTGCAATAAATAATGAGATTACCATGTTAAAAGCCACTAAATAGGGGCCAGCCCCATGGCTGAGTGGTTAAGTTTGCACGTTCTGCTTCGGCAGCCCAGGGTTTCACCAGTTCGGATCCTGGGTGCGGACCTAGCATCACTCATCAGGCCATGCTGAGGCGGCATCCCACACAGGACAACCAGAAGGACTGACAACTAGAATATACAACTATGTACTGGGGGGTTTGGGGGAGAAGAAGAAGAAAAAATATATATTGGTAACAGATGTTAGTTCAGGTGCCAATCTTTAAGAAAAAAAAAACACTAAATAAAGTTGGAATCCATGAGTCCATACTGAAACAAAGAAACAGAGGGAAAAGGGCAAGCTCTTCCTACAGTAGAATGTCAACTAATACATGTAATACTCCAGTGACGGTCAAGGTCAAGGAGAGAGAGGAAAGAGACAACAAATGCAGTGAAATGTTAACTGATCACCCACCCAGATGACGAGGATGCAAGGGTATTTGGTTTATTCTGACAACATTTCTATAGATTTGAAACTAGTTCCAAAAAACTTTTTTTGATGTAAAAAGCAATATTACGATTCTTTAAATATATATATAATTGGCTTATTAACCCAATCTGCAAGCTTTTTCTGTTTCTGGTATATAATTCCTTTGAACCAAAAGAATATATAGGCTAACCTATGGAGAGCAGCAAAGCCATTTCCACAGTCTGCTTACCCAAACGGTAATAGTGATAAAGAAAT